CCCAACCACGGTACCGGGTGCAAGTGCCAGCTCCGAGCATCCCTGCGGCACAGGCCGGCACATCGCAGGGATGCTCAAGAGCCCCCATGCCGCGCTGGCACCACGGTACTCCCCGGCATCCCCGGGAAAACGCTGTGCTACAGCCGGACCCGGACCCCAACCCCAACCCTTCCCTGGGAACTGCTGGCACTTCTGCTTTTTCAGCATAGAACAGCTTTTCAGCTTATTCCACCCTGAACATCCCCGGATGGTAACACTGCTGCGACAGTGGGTCCAGCAGCGCCCTGTGAGCCCTGCGGGGCTGCAGCCACCACCCGGCGGGTGGGTGCTGAGTTGTACCCCCACCCAGGTGCACCCTGACCCCACCGGATATGGTTTTTTCCCCAAAAAATATTTTGGGGAAGTTCCTGCGGAAAGCCCCAGCGTAACGTGCCGGCAGCGCAGGGGATCCTGTGGCTGCAAGAGGCCGCCCCGGCTGCTCTCACTTCCCTCCCCTGCACACCCTCATCCCAGGGGCTTTGCCCCATCCCCTAAAAATTTGGGGGGGGGGGGGGGGCTGCAGCCATACCCCCCCTCCCATACCCTGAAACCTTCCCGCACACAGGCAGAGAGCCGCTGTGCCAACCTCTCGCGCCCGACGGCCGCCCCGGTGGAGCTGAGCCTGTTCTACGAGAGCCTGTGCCCGGCGTGCCGCTGGTTCCTGGTCCAGCAGCTCTTCACCGCTTGGCTGCTGCTGCCCAGCGAGGCCCTGAGCATCACCCTGGTGCCCTACGGCAACGCCCAGGTAAGAGCCGGCCAGACCCGGTGCCGCAGGCACGTCACACCGGCATCACTGGCCCCACTCAGACCGGTCGGTCCCGCAGGAGAAGAACGTCAGCGGCAAGTGGCAATTCCAGTGCCAGCACGGCCCGGAGGAGTGTTTGGGCAACATGATCGAGGTGACGGTGATGGTGATGGTCCCCATCCCCATGGTGCCGGCATGGGGGGCGTCCAGCAGCCCCTCACCGCCTGCCCTGTCCCCGTAGACCTGCCTGATGAATGAGGCCAAGAACTTCACCACCTACTTCCCCGTCATCTTCTGCCTGGAGTCAGGCAGCTCCGTCACCAAGAACCTGGAGGCCGTACGTCCCTTTCCCCGTCCCCCACGCCACGGAGACATTCCCGTCCCCCTGACCTCCCCGTGTGTGTGTCCCCCCCTCCCCGTCCCCCACAGTGCCTGCAGGTCTATGCCCCGCAGCTGGACGCGGA